GACTGGTATACCCTTGGCTCTGAACAACAAAATCTCAGCCTGCACACAGCCACTAAGGGCTTTGGGAAGCAGCCAAGCTTGCCCATGGGCAGGATCTCCTTGTGCAGTGTCCAGGAGGTGGCTCCATGGGCAGCATCCAGATGCTGAGGGCTGGCACCAGGGTGATGCTGCACAGAGCCAGGAGAGAAATCCACCCTCCAGAACATTCCTGTGTTTCCTTTGTAAATAAATTCTCATGTTCCATGTCTCTGGGTTGGTTAGCTGGTTTTTGCTTGCTATCTCTCACCCTGTAAATTTAATGCCTTCAAAAAGTCATACTCAAATATTGCCATGGTCCTTCAGTGAATATCAGCCTCAACTTTATTTTGGTAAAAAACACAGAAATTAAGGATGCCTAAATACAACAAAACTAATATCAAGCTCTTAGAATCCTCCTTAAAAGGCAAATGTCTCTCTCACCTTCATAGCTTTAACTCTCTGTGGCTCAAAACACTGTGTCTATGATTTCAGACCAAGTGTTGAGTCTTGTTTAGCAGGCCACAGCACACAGCTCTCTGTTCTGGGAGAAGGGTGCCAAGTTGTCCATGGTTTCAGCAGCTGGCTCGCTTTCCCCTGTTTATCAGCTCACTAGCACTTTCTCCCTTTAATAGCAATGCAATCCAGCAAGCCATGTGACCCTGTGGGGATCAGCAGCCCTCTGAGGGCTGGGAGGTTTTGTTTCATGTTCCCAGGTTGCTGGCTGGTGGTTTTGGACTGCACTCCCTAAGTGCCAGCCCAGCCCTTGCTGCTGCCAGTCAGGCCCTGGCAGGAGGGCAGTCCCTGTAAACAGCCATGTGTGAAAGTCACCTCCCTCTGCTTCACTCCTCAGCTGGGAGTTCACCCGTGTCTCTCAGCATGCAGTGCTTCACATGGTGCCTCCCAGCTGCTTGCACTGCCCAGTGGTGCACAGTGGGAGCAGCCGGGATGGCTCAAGTCCCCAGACAGGCATCTGTCCCAACCCCCATGGAGGGATTCCTAGTCCTCAGCAGCCTCCACCCTTAAAGCAGCTAGAGTCATCACTGTGGTGTCCTCTCTAGGGAGAGGATCTGTCACAGCAGCAGGGATGGAACAGGCTGTGTGAAGCTGATGGCCACAGGCAACAAAAAACTGAGTTCCGAAGACTGATCCCAGGCTCTGCACACTGCAGTGGCAGCTGGGCAGTGTTCCCCACACCTCCTTTCAGGGCGAGATGGATGAAAATCCCTGGAGCAGCAGCAGTGCAGATCTAGGGCAGTGCTCACTACTGTTTTGCAGAGCAGAAGTGAAGAGCCAGAGAAGATGTAACCAGACATCCAGCTGTTAGCACAGATAATGATTGTGATGTGACATTGGTTTGGGCATCTATCAGCAATTTTTCCTAGCACAGTGTGGCTGGACACATCTGGGAAAACCCACCCTACTCTCAGACAGGATGATCTTTGCATAGCACCAAGCATCCTGCCACCTCACTCCAGGACAGGATTGCTCCCAGCTCCAGGATAGCAGTGTGAATCAGAGCACAGCAGGGCTGGTAGAGGAGGAACCGTGCTGCAGCGCTTGGGGTTTTTGCTACCTTCATTTCACGGTGTGGGCAGCCCAAGCTGTGACCATAATAAATAAAGTGACAGCCAGGGAGCAGAGCTCTCTGGTTTCCTGTACACCTCAGGCTGGCCAGGGTAAACACACAACAAGCCTGCACTTCAGACAGGGCCATGCCCACAGCACGTCAGCCAGAGCCTGGACACATGCCAAGCCAGCCAGAGCAAAGCCACTGAGCAGGAGGCTTCACAGGGCAAGTCCCACACAAGGCAAATAGGCTGGTGCTGAAGGGCACAGCCCTATTGCCCCAAGATGCCCTGCATCCAGCAGGCACCTGCACCTCTGGGACGATCACCTGTGTCTCTGGGATGTCAGGGACAGCCACTGGGGCTGGCTTCCAGGGCATGTGTGCGCCCCATCCTTGCCCAGGCTGCAGGGCTGTAGAGCATCCTCAGACAGGCAGTTCTGAAATGGGTACTGAGAAAGGCTTCACAGCATCAGCCAGGCCTGCTCATGAGGAGACACACCCTGTGGCAGTCCCCTCTGCACAGAAACCATGAGAGGACACCACAGATTTCAGATGTACCCATCTCCAGTCCCCATAGTCCTCTTCCATCTGTCCATCTGCTCCCCTCACATCATACAGGCAGGACTCCAGCAAGTGCTAACTCAGCCAGGACAGCTGAGGACCAGAGTTCCCATCTCTCGGCACATCATCATGATAGGCACTTGCACATCAGCATGACACATCTCACTCCAAGTCTGGCCCAGCTCCAGATCTCAAGCTCATGATCCCAAACCTCTCAATCTCTTCACCTAGCCTAGCATATGGGAGCAGTTCATGGATGTGACTGCTTCTGGGAAAGATGTCAGGACATTTTTGAGCACATAGCAGCAAGTCAGGCAAAGCTGCAGACAGGGCGGGAGGGACAACACAGCTCTTGTGGCCCAGTTCAGTTTCTCCTGTGTGGGCTTGTGGTAGTGTAATTCAACCTCTAGACTTCTGCTTACATGTTCAAGCCTTGATCTGCCTAGACAAGATCTGTCAACTTCCTCTCTGCTCGAGAGTAAAGGGAAAGGGACCCTGTGGTCCCTAAATTCAGTCCTTTTGGGCCGCTGAGAGGGAGACCAGCTGTTGGACAGGATGCTGCAGACAGCCTGAACATGTCCTTTTGCCATCGCAGAAAGGAGAAACTAGGAGGTGTGTGGAGCTCATGATGCTCATCTGAGCCTGAGGATGGAGCAGAGGAAGAGCTGCAATGTCAGAGCTGCCCTGTGCCAGGGACATCCCGCCCCAAGGACCCCCAGGTGCATGCAGCCCCATTAAGTGCCCTGCTCATCCAGCAGACCCCACATCACTGTCAAACCTCCTCCTTCTTCACCTAACATTGCAGCTCTCCAGCTCTGCTCAGAGCTGGTGGTCCACCACAGTCCAGATCCCCACTACATCCCTCCTCCCAGCACACCACTGACAGTGCCAGCTCCACACCCCCCCACACCCCCCCGCACAGACATCCCTCCAAATCAGGTTCTGTTCTCAGATTCCCACCCCCAAGGGTTGTCCCAGCCCTGCAGAGCTGAGTGTTTCCCCAGGTGCTGGACTCGTCTCAGCTCTCCAGCACTGCAGCGGCAGAGAAAGCAGTGTGTGGCTCCCGGCCAGCAGTGGCGCCAAGCAGCCCAGCTCCCAGTGCACTGGGAGCACCACGAGGCATTGAGGGAAGCTCAGGGTCTGCTCCCGGGGGAGGACCCAGGGCCAAATGCGTGCTGCAGCCTGTCCAGCTCTGCTCCTTCCAGAGGAGCTGGCCAATCCTAGAAGATGCTCAGTGTCCCTCAGCTCACACAGGCTGCAGAGAGCAGAGCAGCATCAGGAGGTGGGAAGGGGAGCTCGATGGAGGAAATTTCTCTCTGCCCAGGACCAGCCTCTCCTACATCCCCAGGCTCCCAAAATCCACATGAGCCACTAACTGAGGGAAGATACAAGCAGGCTGGTGGAACCAGACCCCATCTGCAAAGCACCTGAAAGGCCGCGCGACTGACTCAGGGAGGGACATCCTCAGCCTTTGCAGATCCCCAGCTCTTGTAGTGCAGGTGAGATAGATCTGGCCACCTGTAGCTGGTGAGGCAGCAGCCTCAACCACAAGCAGATGTGCTTGGGCTGTTCCTTGGGCGATGTGGGCACCAAGCCTCAGTTGTGGCTGAGTTCAACACCCACAGTGCAGCTAGGAGCCAGTATAGGAACTGCCCACCCCACACACAGCCTCCACCTCTCCCAAAGTCTGATACAATGGGGTTGCATGGGAGAACTGGGAAGAAGGAAAACACTAGTTTAATATCATATGAATACACAGGAGGTGAGATAGCTCATGGGCGTGTTTTTGTGGTGTTGAAGAGACAGGATTGGACAACAGCAGGAGTCTTTTGTTACTGTAGGTTCAGGTGTTCAGGGGCTCAGGGATATATGTCTGGATATGGCAAGCATCAGTTTGTCACTGTAGGGTTGCAAAAGGTGTCTGTGACTCTGTTCATTCCTGCCAGCCTAGAGAGACATCTGTTTTTGCAGGGAAAGTGCTGCATGGGTGCTGCACACACCTGGAATATGTGGCCATTATCTCTGCACAAGCAGAGACAATGTAGGTAGGGAAATACTGGGTCCATCCCAGGGCTCTAGCAGTGCCAGACTTGATGGCATCACATGGGGAAACCCCAAACCAGACCTGGCCTCAGGTGCCACCGGAAAGTTCCCAATGGGTCTTCACCACCTGGTTTCCTGTTACATACTTCCAAGTAATTTTTTTTTCCTCTTGAGAATTTTCACTGCAATAAATGGCAAACCAAACCCATTTCCAAGGGAAAGCAGCTTGGGTGGTGGATATGTCCTGCAAAAGAAGGATGCAAACACACACCACAAGTTGCGAGGAGGAGCGAGCCTTTTCTTCAACTTAGAGATGTAAACCCCGCAGCCAGATTTCACCCTGCACGATCCCCATCAAATAAACCACCACAATAATAAACCCAAAGAAACGGCCCGCCCAGGGTCAAGGGAAACTGAGTCACAGGCAGGACATGCCTGCCTTCACTCTTGCAGGATGCAGGGATGGGGGCAGGCATGGTTGGTGATTGCCGACCCCCGAGAAGACCGGGGAGGGATGTGCACTTTCGGGAGATTCCTGAGCCTCAGGGGGATAGTAGCGCTCCGGAGGGCACCGCACATCAGCGCGCCACGGTGGGATCCCCTTCCCAGCGCTCTGGTCGGACTGAGACGGGGAGCCCCGGGGGGGACTGCGAATACCGGGCAAGCGGTGGGCCGCGAGTTTGCATCCCTCCCGGTCCCGGGGGGCGGCTCACAGGCAGGAAGCGTCCCGGGGTGGTGGCGGCAGATTGGCAGAGCCCTGCTCCAATGGAGCGGCGGCGGCAGCCCCGGCGGCTTCACACCGCCTGCGCTACCGGCCCCAGCCAGCCCGGTGCGGGCGCCCCGCTCCCGGCCCCGCTCCGCTCCCGACCCGGCTCCCGCTCCGCTAGCGCCATGGACACATAGCCGCGGCGCCACGCAGGAAGGTAGGGAACAGCTCCTCGGTCCCCAGCCCGCGAGGGGAGCGAGTCGCCGCCGCCCCGACTTCGCGGTGAGGGACGCGCGGCTGCGGTCAGGCAGCTCCCGGAGCTGTTTGCTGCCCGGGTGGAGAAAGTTGTGCGGGTGTGTGTGGATGTCTATGTGTCTGTGTCCCCTCGCAAAGCAGCTGCCAGGGATTTGCCTTCCCGGTCTCCTCCGGCTGCTTGTGAGTTCCCAGCGCTTCTCCCCCTTTTCCGCCCTCCGCGCCTCCGCCTTGCCCGGGGATGCTCGGGGATGTTCCTGGGCTGGGATGTTTCAGCCCCTTCCCCAGCCTCCACAGACCACCCCGTACCATTCCCGATTTGGACACCTCTACTGTCTCTGAAGGGAGTTTTCTGGAGAAAGACTGGAATGCCAGGCAAAGCACCCCCCTGGCAGGGCCCCCTCTTCTCCTGAGGGGTCCAGGGAAAAGCTGCTCCCAATTAGGAGAGGCGCTGAGAGAGGCGCTTTCCCATGCGCGGGTGCTGGCAGGGCTCTGCTTGCCTTGTCCCTGCTTGCCCCGGGATGCTGTGTCAATCCCAGCTTCTCTGTCCTGTGCCAGTCCCGATGAGTGGCCAGCCCTGGTCTGTGCCCACCACCACCCTCACAGGCTGGCTCTGTCACACAGAAGGTCCCCTCCCAGCTCTGCCTCTGGGCTAGTGAAGGCTGTCAGAGGTGTCCACGGGGCTAAGCTTGGCTTGGACGTCACTGTCAGCACCTGTGACCCCACTGTGATGGGCCTGAGGGTACCTTGTGCCTGGTCCCCGTGGGTGGGAAGAAACCCAGCACTGCAGCAGCTCACAGATGTGTTGCCTTGTACACAAAATGATGTTGGACTGGCTGACATTAGTGGCATAGCCAGAGCTGCCAAATGCCTTGTGTGCTAGGAGGTGACTGCCTCATGTCTGGCTGTTGTGTTTGCAGGAGGAGGTGGCATGTTTGCACTCTACCTTTTTACAGGAGGGCAGGTTGCAGCGAGGTTACAGCGTGTGCAGTGACACAAGGCACACATCATCCCAACTGGGAAAAGATCTTCACAGGGAGCTGGGAGCTGGTGGACACCCTCCTGTGATAGGGACAAGGATGAGATATGGCCACAATGCCCCCTCATCACCCTCTGCCCCACCAACCTTGTACTTTTGGGGCAGAAACGAAATGGGCAATATGTGGTCTGCAGGGAGCTGCAAACTGACCTTGGCTGCCAAAATGGGACTGGAGGTCGGGCACAGGGTCAAACTGGTGACAGCAGGGTTGTGCTCAGGGCTGGATGTCACCAGCAGTGGGTGAACAGGTATGTGAGGTTCAGTAGGTGGGGGAGAGGTCTCCCTGGAGGATGCAGCTAATGGCAGAGCCTGTAGGAAAGTGGAAGAAAAGCAGCTCTGGTCTTGTGCTTCCTATTCCAGGAAGAGGAACCTCACAGGGAGGGGAAAACTTGACTTGATTATATCTAATAAGCCACTTTTTCCCTGTCCCAGCAGCGGGGGGAGGAGGATGCTTGGCCAAGTGCAGGCCCTGTTTGTGAAGGATGAATGAATGACTCACAGCGCAGTGAGTCTCCCTGCTGTTTTGATCGTGGCAGCAGCAGAAGCAGCAGTTCCCCTTTGCAGCTGCTGGGCTTATCAGAAGCTGCCATGCTGGGTGGGCACCAAGGTGGCCCACAGCTGCAACCCACACATGAAGGTGTCCTGCCTCTCCTGCCCTTCTCACACAGCTCACCTGGACCATCCTGACTGGGGAAACCCTCATGGATGGCAACAGTGCATGGCATCCTCACCTGCCATGAAGTAGCTGAGCACTCAGTTTAAACCCTTTATTTCCACTTCGCTCTTGTTCAAAGGCAACTCCAGGCTCTTCCTGCTCACACAGGCCTCAACCTCCCTCTGGTTTCCTGCTGAATGCGTTCCTGGAGAGCTTATTCCCCTGTGGGTTTTTGCCAACATTGTGCTTTTAGTTCGAGACCTCTTCTCCCTCTCTGGTGTTTACCCTGCTATATTTATAGCTTCCTCGTTAAGTTAAGCAAGCCAAAGGATTCTTGCCTCCTCCCGTGGGTTTGGTTCTGGAGGAAAACCCCCTGTGAGATGCTTCCTGCGGGAGGGGCAGGTGCTGGCTTGTGTCTCTGCTTTTCACCCTTTGGATAATTTCGGCATCTCTCACAGCTTCTTTCCCCTCCTCTTGTTTCGGCATGAAAGAGGGTGGCTCTGCCCCTGCCCAAGATATAGCCAAGGGCAGAGCTTGGATGATATGAGAGCTCTTCCCTATGGGATCTTCAGCAGCGTTTGGGATGCTGATATCATGCCAGCATAGGGGATTAGCTCTGGGATGTCTGAGTTGGCTTGCTAGGATGTTTAGAGAGCTTTTGGTTTTTCTAAGTGTTCCTGTGGTTACAACAGCATCGCATGTGTGAAAATCACCAAATCTCTCTGGACAGGGTTGCCATGACCTTATGACCTGAGTTTCTACTAGGAAATCTCTCCACACCTCCCAGTGAAGGTTTTCTTCTCCCATCCAAGTTATGAAAGTAGGGAAGGGCGCAGATGCCTTGCAGTTGTGGTTGAGTCTTCTCCAAAAGCCAGACTCCCATGGACCATTTTCGTGGAAAAAGGAAAATTCCTCTTGAGAGTAGTAGCACATTTGCAGTGATCAGTGTGTAAATAGGAATTATCTCTCAAGTTTGACTGCTTCCCAGGTCTCTGAGTCATCCTGGCATGGCAGTGGGGCAGGGTGAGCTTTGGGTTCTTCTGAGAGGTCACAGCACCTGCAGCCCCTGGAGCATCTGCCAAGATCTCCAGTACAGCTGGATGGCTGGGCTGGAATGTGCAATTCCTTCTCTCTAGTGGTACTAGTCTGGGACTTGGCAAAAAAATGCTCCTCCTACTCTGGTGTTTGAGTTAGGGGCATCCAGGAAAAGAGGGACAAGCAATCTGTCAAGACCTGATTTGGTTCTGTCTTACCAGGACTGCTCACTGAGGTCCCATCAGTCACATCTGATCAGCACAGCTTGGATTTGCTGCAGCAGGCATTGGTCATTGCTGAAAAGGCTTTTGAGGAATTTTGGAAGAGTCTGGGCGGGGGAAGATCACATCTACCTGCTCATACATGTTTCCTAAAGATACTTTTGGAGAGGACAAGGAGACTGGAGTGACCTCAGGAGGTCTGGCATAGTTGGACATGGGGCTGTCCCATGCAGGTGGCAGTGGCCTGCATGCAGGCAAGACTGCATTGGCCAGGAGAAGGGAGGATGCTGAAAGCACTTTGAAAATCAGCCTGGGGCTGCTCCCCAGAGACTGCTCAGCTCTGGTTCATTCCTCTCAGTATGGAGACAGCCAAAATAGAAACTGCCTAAATAAAAATTGCTATGGACCCACAAAAATTGTCGTATAGGGAGAGGTGGAAAAGTTCAGGGCTCCACCATCTAATGAAATCCTTATGGTGGAAAAAAAATAATTTGGGCATCCTCTGGTTTATTTCACCTCCCAAAGTGAAAACAAGGCATGCCAACCCTTGTTGAGAAGCCAGCACTGATGACACACTGAGGGGAATAAGGGAAGGAAGAAGCTTACAGCTTTGTGGACCATCATATCTATGGCTGTCTGGGGAAGGTGTTCTGACCTGTTGACTTTGAGGAGTGTTGTGTTCAGCTGTAGCTAAGTGTCGTCCCACCTTGGGGAGCTCCAGACAGAGCTCGGGGCTGCTGCCTGCCATCCTGCTGACAGCCTAAGGGGTGTGGATGTCCTCACAGAGGAGCATGTGGGAGGCAGTAGGGCTGGCACAGCATCCCTGGAGCCCCTGGGCTGGTGTGGCTGTGCCTGTCCAGCTGTTTCCTTCGCCTTCCTGTGCTTTCACCATCCTCTTCCTTTGGGACAGAAGCCTTTCATCCTAGCTAGACCAATAGTCCCAAAGGCACATCACCAGCCCCTTTTTGATGAAGGTTGGCATGGGCATCAGTGCCTTTTGTATTCAGTAACATCATGAAAGGCACAGTTCAGCCCTTACCTTCCTGTAATAATAGATAGGGTTAACCAGAAAGGGCTGTCATGAAGGGTCTTCACTACGGTCCAGCCCAGTGCTGTGCCAGTATTGTGAGAGCTCACAACAGCTGTACTGCAACAGCCCTGCAAAAATCTCCAGGGATGGCCCGGCCCAGTGGCCCGGAATGGTTTTGCAAAAGCTGCTGTCACGCGGGGTGCCCAGGCCAGCTGGCACCTCTCCAGACTTCCTTACAGGGCCAGGGCCAGCCTCCAGCTGCTGGGGAGGTCTGCAGGAGTCTTTGCTTTCCATGAGTTTTGCCTGAGGCCTCAAGGCTTAGGAGGAGCTGGTGGACCCAACCAGCTATTGCTCCATCCTTTTCTTTCAAGGGCCAACACGCAACCCTGGGGGGTTCCTCAGTGCTTTGGCTGCTTTTGATTTTTTTAGCTCCTGCAGGGCTCCCGCTGGGCTGTTTCATGGCCCCCTTGAGGCTGCTCCACCCCATCCTGGCTTTGAGTTTTGCAGCTTCATGACTGGAGCATGGCTGTGCCAGGGGAGGCATCCGTTTTCTCTGGCCTCCCTGATCCTGTGCCTAGCTCATTTCCCCTCTCCAGCTGGGACTGTGCCCACAGTCCTTGCACCCCAGCATCCAAAAAACAGTGTACATAGCAAGGAAGATGAGTGCCTGCATTTCCTGTGCTGGCCCAGGGACCAGTCAGTGTGAGGGACCTGTCTCTCAGAGTATCTTGTTGACACAGCTCTTGATCTGCTGCACATCCACATTCCTCTTTCCCAACTGGAGTTTGCAGATATACATTCAGTCCTCTGGCAGCTCCTGAAGCTGGGTGTTTTGCCCCAGAGATGCCTTGGAGAGCTCTGCTCAGTGAGACACGGAGGCTTGGGCTCAGAGTGGTCCTGGAGGATGGTGAGATGCCCAAGCTCAGATGGAGCAGCTGTGGTGCTTACGCTGTGCCTGGGATGGATGATGGATAGATGAAGGACT